GCGGCCCACCCTGGGCAGCACGGGGCTCGGGCCTGGCTCAGGGGCCGGCGGGGGCCGAGGCGTTGGTGGTGGAGGTGTGGAGGCAGCTGCTGGGGGCGCCCCGGGTGAGGCTGTAGGTGCAGTAGGCCACGGCCGAGCCCAGCGTCAGCCCCGTCATGTAGGACACGGTCATGGTGTTCCCTGCAGACAGTACGGGACCTGAGTGGGAGGGAGGCTGCAGGGCTGTGAGGGGCCCAGGGTTGGGGTACAGCAGCCAAGTCCCGCGCACAAGTCCAGCGGCCACTTAACAAAGGGCTGGAGCCCGAGCCTTGGCTTCTCAGGTGTGAAGCAGGAACCGCTGTTGGCTCCTGCCCGGGGAGGCGGCCGCCCACAGGCCGGGGCCCCAGGCCTGGCCTGCGCCTCCCCCTCTGCAGTCTCCCATCTCCAGCTGCTTCCTCGTCACGGACGCCTCAGGATGTCTAATGGGCTCTTGAACATACCTAGTGCAGAACCCAGCTCCAGGGCCCCTTCCCCATCTCAGCTGATGGCAATCCAACCTTCTCGCCGAGCAGCAGGCCTAAACTTGGGAATCCTTCTGGACCCCCGTCCCTTTCTCCTACCCTATCTCCCAGTCTGTCCAATGGTCCTGTGGGCCCTACCGTCAAAACCGATCCAGAATCCAGGGCCTTCGTCCAGGCCCCACCCACCTCTTCATGCCACTGCCCTGGCACACACGACTGCTTTTGCCTCGGGGCCTTTGCACATGCTATTCCCGCAACACTCTTACCCCGCATTGTCACGTGACTGGCCCCTCACTACTTCCTCCAGGTCTTTGCCCAAGTCACTGCCTCAGTGAAGTCTTCCCAGACTGCTCTGCCTCCCTGTGAAGCCCCCAGCCCTACTCCCCCATCCTACTGCCTGTTTCACATTTCTCCATCATACTTAGCACCATCCAAAAGATCACATCTTTTTGTTATTTGTCACCTCTGGACTGTTAACCCCACAAGCACAGGGATCACTGTTTTGTTGCCACTGTGTCTCCAGCGCGTAGAACAGCGCCTGGTCCACGGCAGGGGCTCACGAAGTAGCTGCAGGATGAGTGAAGGGTAAGTGACTGACAGATGTCCCCACGCCTGTGAGCTCTGAGGCTGACGTGCCCTGGGACCCAAGTGTACCTTCTCGCTGTGTGGCCTTGACTTTCACAGGCCTCAGTTTCCCTGCCTGGCAGCAGACAGCCCCGTGGGCAAGGGGGGCATGGGCCGGGGGTCTTACCTGCCAGCTCCCGCTGCCTGGGGCTCACTTTGCCCGCGGCCAGAATCATGGGCACACTGCCGAAGTAGCCGTTGCTGATGCCCATGAGCAGGGAGAGGACGCAGGGCCAGGCCGGGTGGCGCAGGGCGGGCGTCCCGCTGGGGTAGACGCACAGGATGAAGAGGGGGATGAAGACCACGCGCAGGCAGGAGCAGGCCAGCAGATGGGTGCCCCGCCAGTCCATGGGCAGGGCTGCCAGGATCTGCGGGGGGCCAGACACGTGCATCCCTACCTGTCCCCGAGCCCACTGCCCTTGCATCTCCCTGGCAGCCTCCAGACAGCCCCCATCCTGCCTGGTCCCTGGAAACTTCTGGCTCGGCCCAGCTCACGCCGTGTTCCCATCCTTTGCTAGCTGTATCCACAAAACCCCACCAAATTCCATGTTAGAGGCACACAGTCCTTGCTGTGCACCCAGCACCCAGCTAAACACAACGGAGGTGCTGCCTGCTCAGTCCTCACAGCACCCTCGCCAGGTGGGGCTCTTAACCTTATTTGAGAAATGAGAACACAGAGGCCCAGAAGGTCAGGGCCACATGCATCCACTCGCAGGAAGTGGCAGCAGCTGAACCCACTAACTAGCCTCACTCCCTCTGGAAGCAGAGACTTGAGGGTTTCTCAGACCTCTCAGCTGTGTGACCCCAGGCAGATGGCTTTCCCTCTCTGGGCCTTATAGAAACCTCAGCTTTGGTTTTGCCGGAGCCCTGACCCCAACCTTGCCTGCACCCATAGCACATGATGCTCTGCCTGGGTTCATCTGGCCCCTGAGCCATTTCTAGGTGCTCCTGGTCCCCTGCACTTCTTGTGCCTGCACCTCTGATGGGCATTAGAGACTCATTAACTAGTGAGCATGGGGTGGGAGGGTGACAGCCAGCCCTGACCAGACCCCACAGAGCTGCCCTGTGATCACTTGGGGCACCCCTCCTACCCCGCGCTGGCCGTTCCTGCTTCCACCCTCCCCACCCGGAGACCCGTGCATCCTCAGCTCAGGGTCGGCGCCTCCCCGGGGACCCTCCCTGCAGCTCCCACGACCTCCCCGGCATCTGCTGCCCCTACCCACGGTGTCCTCCCCGCAGGGGGGCCCACCTTGCCCACGAAGTCAGAGAGGTTAAACACGGCCATGATGAGGATGGGCAGCCACTCGCCCAGGATGCAGTGGCGAATCTCGGACTCGAGACCCGGGAACAGGCACAGCGTGATGAAGTAGGTCACGGCGATGGATAGCATGTCGGCCCAGATGACCCGC